ATAGCAGGGCCCTTTGTAATGTGCCTACCCAGTGCCTCCTGCCCAGAGAAAGGGGCTGTGTCTGGCCCCAAACACAGTCTGTGCCTAGGAACTCACTTTTGCCATCCAAGAGGCCATAAAAGTGCAGGGATACTGGGTGTCCTGAGTTCACTGCTTCCCAGGAGACCAGCAGGGGTGTGAGCCAGGGGCGGAAGGTCCACTGGAAACTCACAACTGAGGAAAGTTAGGTCCTTATAATTCAGAGAAGGAGTTATCAGCCATCTCAGGAGTTCCTGCTCAGCTGGGTCAGCTCCTGGGCAGGGCAGCAGCCTAGTGAGTGTGGTTCCTGCCCTGTGAGGGAGGCCAGGCTTCCACAAGGGTCCCTCCTCACCAGCAAGGAAGGTGGCCTTGTCCATCCTCATGTGCCCAGCCTGCTGGTCATCTCCCCTTCCTGACGTCCTGCCCTGTGGCCCACAGGCCCTGCATATGACACAGGGCAGAGGCACTTCTTAGTCACCCCTGTAATTGCCCAAGCCCAGGTCACTGCAGGAGAGACCTGAGTCCCCCTGGTTCTGATGCTGGATGAACCCAAGGAATTCACAAGGATATGTTGAATATTACCATGAGAAGAGAAACTTTTCAAATACCACAAAGGATGAGAAAGAAATGAGTCTGAGGATGGTGATAGAGGGTTGCTGAACATGTAGCTGTCAGAGGGTCCGGGTTCCTCTAGTGACCTGAGTTTTGTCCCCCTGTGTGTCTGGGCCTCCCTAAGTTCTCCTGCTCATCACATAGACTCTGTCATCACATACTGAGTTTTCACTCACTCTCATCATGCATTTTGGGAGGGAAAGGGTGGATATTGTTATGACTATGTCTCAAGGACTCAGTCATCCTCTTCCCCTGGGCTGTGATCATCACCAGGAGCCCCCAGTAATAGAGATCATTTGCACCTGTGCTCTACTCCCTTCCATGGAAATGGTGCCCGAGACTATGGCCCTTAGTCTCCAAAATTTTTGATTATTTCTTCTCATAAGAGATACAGGGGGAAAGGGGGGGTACTGGAAGAGGCACAGTTCCCCTCCCTGGCTAACACTCTGCAAATGACTTTCCTCCAGAGAGTGTGTATGCACCAGCCTCAGGGTACAGGTCTCATGGAACACCCTTCCCTTCTGGTCTCATGCACCTCTTCATTAGCAGACAGGCAGTGATTTTGGAATCATCTCGTGAGATGGTGAATCAGCCTTTCTCAGATAAAGCAGATTCTGCTGTCCCACCAGCCTTTTTTCTAATAAAACCAACCCACTCCAGCCCCTTCCCTAGAGCCTGGTGGACCCAGTTCATGTAGTAGTCACTGAAGGTGAATCCAGTGGCTGGACAGGAGAGTCTCAGGGACCTCCCAGGCTGGACCATGCCTACCCCAGACTCCACCAGCTGCCCCTCACACTGGACACCTGCAAACAACTCCCAAAGTGGGCAATTGTTTCCATTTTTATGATTAGCACAAAAAGATCTGAAGATAGAGTGGGAGACTAAATGGTAACATTTAATTCTATTGAACATACTACCGAATAGGATGAAAAAATGTCAGACAAGATCGGGCGCATTCAGGGTGGCACACTTCACTATTGCACAGTCATGGAAACAACCCAAGTGCCCATAAATTCATGAGTGGATAATTAAAATGTGGTATATGCTCACAAGGGAATATTACTCAATTCTAAGAAATGACAGTGAGCTAGCACTGTTTATGCTATCCTGGATTAAGCTTAAGCCAATTATGGAAAATGCCCTCCACATCTCCTCACCATCAAATTGATACTGACTGATTAAAACTATGGTGCTCAAATGGTGGTAATGTTCACCAGGGATTGGGGCGAGACCCACATGCTTATGGAGTGTCGGTGGAGTATTGCTGGAGGGGAAGGGCCATCACCCTAACGCCTTCTTAGCCGGAGAAGGGCACAGACTATCAGATGTGAACGCAAAATGTTAGAAAGAAAAAAACTTTTAATTGGTGTTGGGCAGCGCTGGGAAGGGAGAGGAGGAGAAGGGTGTATACTTACATAATGCGCGGTGGTGGCCGCAGCCACTTGGGGATTGTACAGGTTTTTGTTATAGCTTTGCGGCACATGAGGGTGAGGAGGGTGGCCGGGGCATAATATGGTAACGGCTCAACAATATTGAGTACCCCCATGGAATATGATGAAATAAAAGGAAACAAATGGATCAGATACATTGGACGATTGTGAATTAACTGTTGATATTATTTTGTATTGTATATGTGAGTTTTAAATTGGTTACCAAGATGTTAATGAATTAGCATATGCCTAAATACTGTGCAATCTTCTCCACTAAATAGTTATGCGGTGCAGCCATCATGGCATATTTTGGGTAGGCTAGAGGTCCCCTGACACGGGAAAAACATTCTGAGTGTAACACCTGCATGCGGGAATCGGTCTTGGCACGGCCTCCCCTGAGCATGTGGGCAGGAAGCAGCTCATACCCTCAGATTTCCTGGCATGCAGGTAAACCCCTGATTTTGGCCGCCTGCTGGAGAAAAAGCAGGACAGTCGCTGAAAAGGTCAGATGGACATCCCTACTCAGACCTCCATCAGTCAAGGAGAATCCAGGTAAAACTATAGAAGCGAATGGATTGAAATACCATTTGAATAAACCAATTAATGATAATAACAGGCAATCCCTATGGCAGGCGACACTTGTTCAGAACTAAGGAATCACATGTAGTTAGGGTAATGTGGATATTAACATTGATGTGCACCAGCCACATTTGGTTCCCTACCTACATTCATGAAATAAACATAACAAACATATACCCGTCCTATAGTGCAAAATGGATAAACAGTGTGTTGGGGATTAGCATATGGCACATCCCAGCCCTCCCCACCTACCAGGAAACGAGAGCGACCCTGGAGCAGGTTGGGCCCAGCTGGGCTGCTGTCTGACACCAGGGGTGAGGCCTTGTGCTGCAGT